TCTCTACCGTTCATTTTAGGATTTCTTTTGAAAATCCAGAACGCCTCTAATGCCTTTCTCGCTGAAATCTCCGTCTCCTGCGCTAATATCGTGCACTTAACTTCAAAGTTGTCGCCGTTATGCTCCTCAATTTTATGCCTTCCAAGCGCTGTTATCAGGCTGCCACGCCTCATACTAGCTAGATGTTCTTTTATTCCGCCGAGATGAAGAAAGCCTTGCACGTGGCGTCGATCGATAGGTAGGGACCGGATCCATGCAGGAGGGCAAGGACAGTAGATTTTGCTCCATCTGAACATTGCAACTCATCGTATAACCCAGAATGAATCCAAAAGTCACCACGACTGCAAGTAGGATCTGAAGAACTGGCTGCATTCCAGAACGACATTGACAAGCGACTAGGTATTTTAAAAATTATGAATTTATAAGGGAAGTGTAAGAAGGAAGAGGGATGTGTTGTGCTTCCACATGCCACCAAAAAAACCTCCATCAATTATGTTGTTGTTTTATGGGAAGGAAATTTTATTTAAGCTGAACGGCTTGCGACATGGCGAGCAAATAACAACTAGTTCGACGGCATGTAATAGCAAAAAGCTGGAAGTGATCAGCGCTGAGACGCCTCTTCGAGAAAGGGCACTATGCAAGTTCGAATACGTTCTTAACTACAATCCAAGAGTGAGTGGTATTGTTACGATACCTTTGCTAGAATTTAGATGACTTAGTGTTACGGTACCATTGGCACAGCTCACTGTACATCGTTAAATTATTTCTTACAGCGATTACCAGCGGCGCTCACAGAGGTGAAGTGCAGCTGTCATCGGTCCAATTCAAAACTCGTGGGCAAACGAATATTCGAATGTGAACATTTACGGTACCAAGTGAGTTCCTTTAGATGTATAGGGAGGTCAAAACAGAGGGACTCATGTAAAATCGTGTAAAATCAAGAATGATGTCAGTACAAAACATTCGCCTATTTTGCTGCGTTAATAATCCTTTTAAGATAATGTTTTTCACTGTTTTGCCGTACAGGTTTGTTAAGGCAGAAACCACTTTATTGGTCGACGTTTCGACAAATCGTCGTCTTCAGGACCTGAGCAGTTCGGAGCTCCTGATCTTACGCGACCAAGCGCCCAAACGCGCTAGCCCAGTTGCAACAGCTCCCAGAAACTTAAACACTGAAAGATCCCAACCGAGTAACCAACCCTCTGCGGTTCCACCAACGTTGTCGTCCCACTCGATTTCGTTAACAAACAGGGATCAATGTGATACACCATTGATGGTCGTTGGATAAGAGTTGCGCGGTGTTCTCAAAGCCCACAAAACCTTTTAAGATAGTTTTATCCACAACCCCAACAGGTTTCCGACTGGTTGTTTTATTCTACATTTGGTCATAAATAATCTCAAAGTGAGTCTTATGAGCTCTGAAAAACAGTGCAGCTACATTGTGAGGAAGTAGATAGATATTTAGCTTGGCTATTCTTGACGTTGACAAAATGTCCCACTGGACGCGTTTGAGCAAACTCGAAAGAAATCTGTTCCAATCTTCCCTGAAGGATCGACTGAAAGCGAGCCTCAATACTGAATCAAAACAAAGTGGTTTCGAAAACCTATTAGTTGACCTTGAAACCGCGCCTGCTGGCATTGGAAGCAAAAGCCAGTTTTTGTCCGTCGAATATAGTTGTAAGATCACGAAGAAGGAAGAGATTTAGGTTCGAGTATTGATGTTTGACGACACTTGCAACACATTCCGAGAGCATACAGAAACCATTGCTTTGGCCTGTATACCGGTGGTGCAGGTATGATGAGTTTTTATTTGGATGCGTTGTTTTACGATTCTCTCAAACCCCAGTCGGGTAGTAACGCTTAACATTTCTACTTGCTACTTGAGTGGCGAATACAAAAAAACAAGATGACAAACAACATCAATGAACAAAAGAGTAATATACTATGTATGAAATAGCTAACATTCACCAACGCTAACTTCAGACCAGTTTAATCGCACCAACTACATTGCCTACCGCAAACATTTTGCAGTGGCTAACGCATCGAGCAAATAATTGCCTCTCAAGGGGAACCAGTTTGTTTTAGTGAATAGGTGAACAGCTGGGCATCGTAATCTTAACACCAGTTTTGACTTACATACTCCTTTTTCGTATATGTGGATGCTGCTTGATATCACAAGTGACAATAAGATTGTGTTGACAAGAAAGATTGACTGAGGGTAAGGGGTAAACAGCTTGGAGGCCGGAAAGCATAAATAGTCAATTGAATAATTAACATACATAGTTCGAGTGTCGTCCGATGTTGATTACATAGTTCGAGGGCCGTTCAGGGTGTTTCAACACACTAATCCTACGATGTTGGAGCACGTTTTACTTACCCGTGTTTAATGATCTATTCGCCGCTAGATGGATGTGGACACTAGCGGTGAATAGGTCGTTAAATCTGGATAAGAACATTCCTGCCAACATTAGTCTTGAACTTTTCTTCCGAAATACACAACTTCAAAATACTCTCAAACGAGACGTCTGCAGTGGTAAAGAAAACTGTTAAAGAAAGCAAACTTATGTGGACCCAAGTGATGGCTATCGCTACAGTTTCAGGCAAATGCAAACGCCGATGGTGAGGCCGAGTTCATGTTCCCTATTAAAGCCGAAGTACCGGTGTGATCTCAACAGGAGGCTTTATTGGATATCATTCTTAAACTAGGTTGTCGCATAAGTCCTCTGTAATTTTTTTCTACGCTGTTCCCGCACATATCAAGCCACGATCTACGGAGTTGGAATAATGCCCAAGTTGCACATTATTAAAAATTTGCAGCAAGATGTCTACAACAAAGTGACCATACAACAATGCTGATCAGTCAAGTTTGGCAATCACTGGGTGGTTTATTCGAATTGGTAGGATCAGCCACTGGATGCGGATAACAGCCCTTGAAAACGCAGTGAAGACAACTGCAGACAGCGATGCGGCTACCAACCCCTCACCTTCACCGTTCAACTATTGCGTGAAGACTGACGAATATTATCATCGTGTGCGAAAGATCCGTGAAGAGAGGACTACGGATAGGTAGGGATGAGGAGCTCGAGCTGGTTCCAAAGCCCAAGCATGGACCGAAAAGGTGCTTTCATCGTGATAATGGCTTACGTGCGCATCGTATTAAGGCTCAATCCTATGTTGGTGATCTTTAAAGTCTCAAGGCTTTTATCGTATGAAAAGTGGGCACCAAGTCTAAAACTCCTTCCGTCACGACAACGCCAAACTACACATGGTGAGAGGTAAAGTGACTGAAAGTAGATAAAAAGCTACGTTCCGCTGTCAGCGTTCCAGCTTGCTTATAACCTGGGCATCACTTCCCCCCCCCCCTCCTCGAGTGTGCAACTACGTCGGACATCATTTTGGTAGAAATGATTCAAAGCAGTGTATGATGCCATGCCGGGAAGTACTCAATAATCCCTAAAAGCTCTAGCCTTCTGGGAAGGAGGGATCGACAAGGTGGCCGATCGTGAGGTCGAGTGATGGCTAGTGATTTTGCACACTTCTGATCTCTCGGTCTGTTCATTTGTGAATCATTCACAAGAGATGCTAGATAATTGATAGGACTTATGCGCCGACCTAATAATAATCGATCACCGCCTGATGGGATTCCAATTACCCATCTAGAAGAGGAAGGTCACAGCCTACTCACTTCGACGTTTGATCTTATGTACTTTCACGATACCACAGCGAATGCTATCCTTTCCTTCTTCTCTCCTACTATTTTTAATTGGCTCAGTCGCCACCCAATGAATGTAATTATTGAGGCGTTTTATTGTATAAGAATCAATCTTGTTTGTTAGATATTTCTAATCACACACTGTTACCTCGTAGATTAAACAACTACAAACCGTCTTCACGCTAGCACCCTCATTAAGAGAAGCATGTCTGTAGTGCAGTTCCAAAGGCAAGTAGAACATACTTGAGTGATTAACAACATGTGCTGCGACTATTTCTAAGCTAGCTGTTACCAGCAGAATTTCATATTGATACTATAGGTTCAGGATGGGCACGTAGAACTTTGTTAATTACATTCGTTCTCTTCCTATGTTCCTTTGTTTTGAGAAAGCGGAAACACAATTCGATCTGAATCAATCAAGCTTCATTACCCAGAATGAATTGAGGTAAGACTTGCGTAGCTTCCTTCCGTGTTCATCGAGTTGTGGCACATCCATCGAATTTCTTATTCTCCCAACATCGTCAAATGTTTCCCGGAGTGTTTTTCCAATCATTCTTTTCTCTGTCCTTCGAAGAGCAAGCAGGGCTATTAATTAGTCTCGTTCCTGCATACATAGTCATAATAAATATTCATCGCCCTCTTTTCATTCAGTAGTGATAAATGCGTTCACAAGAGTCTTGTCGGTGGTATAATACTAACATCAAAACACTATGCTATTCCTTGACAACTAAGCTTTCATAGTCAGGAACACATAGAACGATTTTCAAACGATCAATCGGGATCAGTCATGTCACTGTAATCTTTTTTCCTCTGAACTTTGAGATTGACAAAAAAAATCTTCTGTCTAATTTATAAAAGAAAAGAGCTTCTAAAAGAAGTCACAATTGCTGAAGTCAGTTGGACACTAAGCTAAGGTGGTGGACACACTATGAAACTAGAGCAACGTTTGAGCGTTCTGAAACTGAGGTGAGGATATTTAAAAAGTTTCTTTTCAATCATAAGCGCACTACTCAGGACCTTCATTGTACAAACACATGAATAACGTCACCTGGTTTACCTAGAAGCCTCAAGTCATTTTTAAATATTCGAAGTTCATTGCGCAAGTATTTTTGCCTCAGAGAAACTGGTCATAATCGGGAGGCGGGTGGGGGGAGAGAGTTGGAGCTCGCCTGCAGAGCATCACAATGAATGTAAAGGGCTGGAACGTTTCATCGTTTTTCAATTATTCGGTCTATCGTGTCAAGGCACGTTCTCTTCGACGTATAAGGATTAAGGTTATCTGATTATAGATTCGCCAGACATATACATAGCTGATAGTGTAGCGGGACTTGAGTTCATGTGTGGAGTAAAAAACAGCCGGTGTAAGTATGCATATTTTATTATTTATATATTAAGTTACATTACACGATTGGATCAAGGAGACAGTACAAGTCGGCCAGCGCCGATGCGATGAGCACTACACGCAGAGCTAGACGAGCGAGATGATTCAGTTGTCGGTAGCGAGCTCGTTTTATAGTGGCTATGTGTAACGTCGGTATCCTGATTGGCAGGTGGCCTCATCCACGTGGCCGTCAGGTAGCGAGGGTACGACAAGGTTACCAAATCAGTCTCGACACCCGGCCGTAAAGCCATGTACAACCTATTGACGATGTTGAAGCGTCGCATCTAGACGTTTGACCTATACAATGTCTCATTCAGAGTTACACCATACTTCCCTGTGCTTTTGTAAAGTTCTTCTTATCTCAAATTACCTCTGATAAGCTTTTCACTGCTGCTCCGCATAAAACATCCTCTCGATTACGTACCTGATATACACAGGCTCCTTAGTTGTTCAGCCTGAGGGGCCAGCCCTACCAGCAGAATCAAAGATAGTCCCGCATCGGTTGGAGAAGCCAATCTTCACTTCGGCAAAATGCACCTAGAAGTTTCAAGCCATCCTTGCCTGCCACTTATTCAGGATTGATGAATCACGTTTGGCAGTTCATATTGAAACAGATGTGGCCGCCTCGTTTGTTTTGACCTTTCACAAAGTAGTCGAATTCTCACATGTCCAGACGTCAAGTCAATGCTAGTCTAAAAAATTTTTTAAAGTCGTGCTGGAAGAACGATTGGAAAATTTTGAAAAGTCATGCTGGAAGAACGATTGGGAATGCAAGTGCACTTCCTTACTTTTTCCTACCCTAAAAAAGAAATCATAATATGCACATTACTTGCACGCCCGCCTGTCCCGACCTTTGTCTATTGTTCGTGTTCACCCGCTCGCATATGGGTGACAGGGCCAAGGGTTTGGGGTAACGGAACTTCTCCCCTATCGCGGCATTCTCCCTTGCGGCATGCGGCCATTGTCACTGGGAGAACGTCCGTTGCGCGTGTCCGTCGAAAGTAGGTCACCCCATCCACTTCGCGCGCGGCGCATCACACTGAGGTCTAGAGATGACATTACAGTACCACCAAGTGTCATTGGAGCAAATGATTTGCATTTGTCTGTGTTATCTTCTTCTTGAACTGACTGCCGTGGACCAAACACAAAGCGTATGCCTCAGTGACAATTGTGACGTCTGTCAAATATCGCGGGCCGACTCGCCGCGTGCGACGGCTGCGGCGTGACCTAGTTTCGACGGACACGCGCAACGAAGCGCATCCTTGTCACTGCAATTACCGTACTCACCCCGTCTCCCGCCAATCGATAGGACGCGATATTTTCTTGACTGACTTGCTTTTTCACTGGATTTTACCGTTTTTTCTTCTGTTTCTTTTTAGTTTTCATGTTTATTAGACTTGATTAATTAAAATGACTCCTCCTATATAAACGACGATCAAGACCGCGTTGGAATTGAAAAGAGCGACCAGCCAATCCAAATAATTAAAGGACTCCCTTTTTCACAAATTGCGCGCTCCAATCTTCCGTCGCAATCCTGCGATAGGCGGCGGGTGCAGCGTGTGCGACGCCGTGTTAGGGGAGAAGTTCCCGGACCCAAGGGTTTGCTCAGAAGGACACTCCTGCTAGAAACTGCCCGCTCAGCGATCGAGAAATGTTAGTGCATGGATTTATAGCTAGTTAGTTCCCGTCCGATATAGAGCTGATAA